GAGGTGATTATTACGCGATAATCACCTAAGCGATTTTCAAAATGGCGGCCGAAGCCTTTTTGTCAATTAAATGACGAAGAAATGTGTATTTTCTTATTTTTTTCCAAATAATTACCTATGAAATTATACTAAAACAATTATTCACCTCAGGCTCGGTAATTATCGTGAATAAAAACCTCGACTTCGTCTCGGTTTTTATTCACCGATAATCAAAATAATAATTGTTAAATAATTTACTCAGCTTTTTACCTTGAAAACAGTAGCGTAGCCAGGAGGAGAGGCGACCGCCACTCACTCCCCCTTCCAAATCGCCACAAAAACCATTCTCTCAAAAAGACTAAATCTGTTGAGAATTTTTTTTTGGGGGGGGGGCTACATTTTACATGTTCGAAGCTGAAACTCACTAAGTACGCTGGCTGAGGAAAACGACAATATACTGGGGGAATTTAATTGATTTGTAAATCCCGTTACAGCAGGTTTGCATGGTTTTCAAGTAGAATGGATTTATTTTGGATTTTTAACTGTTAAATACATGTATGCATTATCATAGCATGAATATTTCTTCTCAGACTTATTCTGTATCGTATAAAAAACTAAAAAAAGCAACGCAATTTTCAGAATACGGACTGAATGGTCTCAGAACCTAGGATTATGTATTGCAACATTTCTGATCAAAATCACATCGCGATTTTCTCCCCCCAGCATCTCAGAGGAAAAATGAGCTAGGTGACACTGACCATCCTCCTGTTTTTCATGGCGACTTTTACAATTTATTTAATTCCGAGAAGAAATGTCTGGGAAAATTCATGTCTTCGATGTACTTTATAATCTTTGGAATTCTGCAAGATTTCACCCCAAATATGCTTCAAATCGCATTTCAGGGACTTTAGATTTCAACGCCCCTTTTTTTAGATTACGCCCCTAGACGGTCTCACGCCTTCAGGGTTCGCTTCGCCCCCCCCCCAAAAAAAAAATGAAGGTTTGGCTACACCACTGCTAAAGAGCTCGTAGTAGTGTTTATTAATCGGCAAAACTTGGCAAGACAAACTACTCGGCAAGAAGAGAATCATTTCATAATTAATACTTGTATCATGAAGATGTGATCATAAGTCAGAATCAGGCAAGCTTCACAGAAATGCCTCTTTCCCAGTGTGCAGTTCTTATTACTGAAACGCTCTTCAGCCGAACGAAAGTCTGCGAAAGATACTACCATGAATTTATTCGTGCGACAAGTGCAAATGTCGCACTTGTAGCATTGGGTGGATACTGCTATGCCGTAAAACTAGTGAAATTAATATAACTGGCATATATATTAAGGCCAGTCCCAGTCTTTTCACTCATGAGAAGAGCAATCTGAAGGCAGTCCGTCAACATAGTTACTATTTCTTGAAAACCAGTTTAGTTAATAGCGTTCAGAGTTTTCTATTATGTATTTATTCTGCAGGTAAGACTTCCTAGTATACAACACTTTTAGGGTTTTTTTTTCTTATTTTCTTCAACAATTATTAACCCAATGCATACCCGCGCCGGTTTTGACCCCCAGACATGGAGCTGTTAAGACCCGCATATCCGTGGGGATCAGCTTTGGCTTCAAGAAAAAGATGCGCAGTTAATTTATCTGATTATCACTTTCATATTATTCTTACACTGCAATCGACCAGCGAAAAATTCGTTGGCTCGAGCGAGATATTCTGTCTATTGCAGTGTATTATGTCTATTGCAGAGTCAGAATAGTATGAATTGGAAACTGTTTTTTCTTATCTGATCATACTCATTTCATTTCAATGTATAAAACTTATACTCGTGTCAAATCCGGACGTAAGCCAGGATCGATGGTAATTCCGCTAGGATATTTCAAAAGTGGGATAGTGCATGGTCATCTCACTGATCTCTAAATATTAGAGACTGCATGCCAGGAGTGCAATGAGCCAACTGCCATGATTTTTAGAACATATGGGAAAGTTATTACACACATGAGTTATAAGAGCAATTTTTCAAATTTTGCTTTATAGAAATGACAATCTTTATAACATTTAAGAAAACCAGAATTGTTTCCAAAAGCGAACTGGTTAGCATTTGAACTGATTTCGTTTCAACTAATAAAAAAGAATAAGTTAAATGGTTAATCGGCAAAAAAATTCGAACAATTAAAACAAAGCTAAGCCAAACAGCATATGCATATTAAATGTTAAATGACCGTAACATAAAGCTAATAGAATGCGGAATTAGTCGTTTTATTGTTAGTTGAAGTGTTAAACTTCATTTATTTTTTGCAGTTTTACCAAACAAATGAAACATTTAAATGCCATAGCTAACATGACGCAAGCAGCATAAGCCCGCGACCAGTTGAAATAATTTGGAACACTTCATGTTGAAACAATGTTTAAGAAATAAAGGCTTGGGAGTTTTCGCATGCATGTATTTGTATGTTAAGTCATACTTTAGCTCCTTTAAAGGGTTTACTTCCATCATCTTTATTGTAAAAATGCCACGTTCGACCATCGTTGCTGAATGATAAAATGTATTTCCGAAAAAGTTGATTCGCATTGTTATATTCACGTCCTTGGGTTGCAATTGCAGTGATTTTTGTTGGAGCCAACAGATCAACCTCAATATACTCATCCGCACTCAGTTCATCCGCTCCACTGGTGTCGGGACACCAAGCTCCCCAGGTTGGAATATTCTTTCGAAGGCGGGCTTGTTCACCTGATGCTGAGGTGCTTGGCCTCACGCTAGAAACTCGAATCCGCGAGTTCTTGATCCTACCGTCCTCCATTCCAAGTGGAGATGTACAGGACTCTAAATTGCACAATTATGCCGTTATTTCCAAGAAAATTATGCGGACTGTTTATAGCATTAGCGGCTGAGTGTGTTGTATCGGACATGTAACTCGAGCCAAACGCGACATTTCGTATATCCGACACACCACAAAGGCGAGTGTTGTAAATAGCTAGTGAAACGTCTTGATGAGAACATTCGTATCCTTTAACAATTTAAAATAAACAAGACGCCTGCTTAAGGCGTTCGCTCCCTCGGTAAATGGGAAGGGCAGCAACAGAATTGCTTGGGGCGATGCAAAAAGTTGATGAGGTGTGCATGATATACGGTATATGGAGCTCACTGGGTGTGGTTAGCAGTTAGTACCTTAATATATCCTTGGCATTTTGGCAAAGAGTAACATAATACTCTGCATACAAATCAGAAATGAAAGATATATCTCCAGTACTTTTATTATATATGCTTGGTTTAGTCTACAGGTACAGTTCTTACTCAAATGTATAAATAGCAGAGTTTAACTATTCTGCGGGTTGCGGGCTGCGGGCCAAAAAATGCGGGCTGCGGGCCAAAAAATGCGGGCTGCGGGCCGAAAAATGCGGGCTGCGGGCCAAAATTTGCGGGCTGCGGGCCGAAAAATGCGGGCTGCGGGCAGAAAAATGCGGGCTGCGGGCAGAAAAATGCTAACACGATTGCAAGCCGCGGGTCTAGTTGCGGGCCTGACGAATTTTTAAAAAAATATTGTCAAAATGTAAAGAAAATAACAACATTATTCAAAATTTTCTGTCTTTGAAGTATATTCTATGTCTAAAGTTATTCGTAATCATATGCATACGAATTTTTCCTTAAATTCATTCTTTTTGTAATATCATGGAATCTCAGTTTATGAGTCGTACCAGACATTAAAACCTGTTTCGACCGGGATAACTGTACACCAATCCTAATAGTAGCACTATTTTACATCCAGCAAACTGACCTGACGTCATTTTCGGAAGAGAGAAGAGGTGTTAAACCTGTTTTCCACTTCGACCGTATCGTAGCACTTTCTTTTGTGTTGAAATCATTAGTTCCACTCTAGCGCTCAGGAAACAAAGACTGAATACGCTACGTTTCGGTACACGGCAAAAAACGCCGAGCCCGCTGCTCAACAGGATTGAACAATGTTTTGCTGCCCACATTGTTCACACTTGTCAACAATATTGAACACTATTGTTGAGCCTGAATATTGTTCAATATTGTTGACAGCTATGAACAATGTGGGCAGCAAAACATTGTTCAATCCTGTTTTCATCAGTATTGCATCAACCTGAGCGTTTTTACGCGTGTACGATACGGTTGAAGCGGAAAGCGGCCTTTAAATACCCTACACCTAGTCCCTACTCTAACCCTTAACCCTAACCCCAACCCTAACTCCAACCCTAATCGAATTAATAAAAAAATGCAAAAAAACGACATTAGAAAATCGATAGGGCGGTTTGCTGGATGGAAAAAAGTGCTAACCGCCAAAATCATTGGAAAATCATAGGAAAAACCAAGAAATTGGGCTTCTGTATGACCCTTTCTGTGCCCTGGTTATAATGCGCTACCGCTTATAACTTTTGGTACAACTGGCCTGAAACTTAAAATATTGATTCAATAAGTTTAATATCAATATATTTATTGAAAAATAGCTATTATGTCAAAATAAGAAAACTTAAGATTCTCACGCAATGTTTTTATGAGCGACTGTTCATCGTTAGTTGCAAACGACGGTAATATAAGATGGTCTGAATGGGGTTTACTGACTACTGACATTTGCCTGAATTTTTGACTGACAACTGACAAAATATCCTAACTGACAACTGAGAAATGATGAAAAAATGATGAGTCAGCTTTTTTGCAGTAACTGACTACTGACAGCTTGCAATATATCGCACTGACAACTGACAACTGGCTTAAATTTTAGCTGACAACTGACACCCAAAGACCCCCATTAAGACCCTCATATAAACAAGGTCAAGGTTTTATCGAAAGCGGTTGACTGTTAGATTTCCTTTTATACTATTTTATAACTAAATAATGTTATTTCCTACAAATTTAGCTTTATTGTAGCTTTATCGAAAGTATAAAAATAAACATGGAAACGGTGAATTACTATAGATTGAAAATAATTATTAAACTATGATTGAAATTATCGACGTAGAATACTATTTCGTTGTATTAAATTTCAATAGTATAATGAGAATTTTGTTTGATATTTTAATATATTTCATGTTATTTACAAAATGTACTGTAGTTTTGAAGTTTTGCACACAATATATTATATATTGAGCATATATAAAATATTGAGTTTTTGATAGCGTAGCCAGGCTTCACGATATAAATATTAAAAACGACTGATAAATAATCATCCATTTTATGATTAATATATTATTGCGAGCACAACTGCTCCAGAATCACAACAAATAACAGAATATAAGGAAAATAAAAACCAGCAAAGCTTTACCTACCTTGATCTATTTTTCTAAGGCGCTCAATTATGTATATTTTCCGCGAACACTCAAACATTTTTCTTTCCCTTTCCTCGAGCATGAGTGATGAATTGCTTGTCGGAAAAACTCGGTATTTGTCGTATTTTACGAATTTCCACGTGACCGGTACGCTCACCGCGACACGAAATTTAGAGCTATATGAAGGTTGCATGCCATATATGGCATGCAACAAAAAAATAGTTAGGCCAGCAATTTGGCCCGCGGCCCGCAATTGTTTTAACCCGCAGCCCGCAAAAACTGACCCGCAGCCCGCAAAAACTGACCCGCAGCCCGCGGCCCGCAAAATAGCTAGACCCACTGTTTAAAGCACGCGTAGGACTTTAAATAGCTTCAAAAACGACTAATGTTATACGAGTTCATTGGCGACTCATGTTATACGAGTTCATTTTTTAAAATAAACTTTGTCTAAACCGAGAAAATCACATTAAAGCTAAAGTTTAATATGTAAATTAACGTGATTTGTTATCACATATAAAACCACGACACGCTTATATGATTTTTCTTTGTGTTTTGCTCCTGAATTATTAATGAGTTTTTGAAACAGTACTTTAAGCACTGTAGATATTGCCTTATAGTCGTAACGGCCAAAACTAAAGTTCAACGATAAAAATAGCACTTAAGTTGTAAGAGTTTGTGGTATCACGACTGGATTTTATATTCATAAATGATCCCGCATAAATGTTCATATATAAATGTTTTTGTCCCACACGTGACGGATTTAGCGTTTATGAATAATTATCTAATTAAAAAGTAAATTTTAATATACATGCTTTTTAAATAATATAGTCTAAATAAAAAGTAAAATATAGTTACATTCTAAGAACACTCTGGTTAAAATGTCCTGGTTAACCGAGTGAAATAACCTATTTGCGTTAACTTAATATATATCCCTGGCTATATAGCTCTCTTCCTCATGGCTTTCCAGTTTAACCTTTTGCTGGTTATTTTAACATAACTGAATTGCTTACAGTTAATTTGACCAACCGCGGACTTCCTGGTTGAATCAAACCAGATTATGTTAGGTGGATATTAAAATAACCAGGAGCGCATAACAATGCACTCAAAAATGTTTATCATCTAAACTAATTGTTTATCGGCGCTTTTCAACAGCAATTAAATATTCATGGCAATTTATAATCACACAATACTAAATTGTCATGTTACTCACTGTTGGATGTTGTCTTTAGTGCATGCATGCCGGGAATTAAAACTGCTGTGAGCCTGCGACCATCATATACAAGGTGACCTGTGTATTATCATCGACACAATATGATTTATTACTTATTTCCCATAACTTTTCATAACTAATTTGCAATGACAAATTCTGGATAAGAATATTTGCATGCATTTATGGCAATACACGCTTCCGGAAAATACGTCACATTGGCTATAAAGCCTCGTTTTCATGACTGAGACATTGGGCTTTGATTAATGGCACAAATACGGAAACGAGGCCCAATAGCCAAAGTGACATACCTTGATATTATAATAATGACGTATATACAATTTACATTATTGAACTAAACTAAACTAAAACTCTGCAGTCAGTAAAGAATGACTTGCTTACAGCATACAAAAGGCTAGCCTCCTGCGCAGACGTTGTTAGTGGCCGAGGCCTCACCTAACGTCTGCTCACATTCGCTATACATTTGACTTCCCGGCAATTAACCAATCACAGTCATCTGCACGATAATTAGAAGATCGACCTTCAATGACCTTCGACCTTCAC